ATTTTGTTGAAGATATTTACTGGCCCTTTAAGTTGGGAATCTTCATTCTCATCTATACCTATTATCCTTAGGTTTGGTCTTCTCATTGTGTCCTGGATTTCCTGGATGTTTTGAGTTAGGAGTTTTTTGCGTTTTGCATTTTCTTTGACAACTGTGTCAATATTTTCCACCGTATCTTCTGCATTTGAGATTCTCTCTTCTATCTCTTGTATTCGGTTGGTGATGCTTGCGTCTGTGACTCCTGATCTCTTTCTTAGGTTTTCTATCTCCATGGTTGTCTCCCTTTGAACTTTCTTTATTGTTTCTATTTCTAGTTTCAGGTCCTGAATGTTTTTGTTTAACTCCTTCTTTGTGTTTTCTTCCATTTCTTTAAGGGATTTCTGTGATTCCTCTTTAAGGGCTTCTATCTGTTTACTTGTACTCTCCTGTATTTCTTTAAGGGAGTTACTTAATTCCTTCTTATAATCCTCTATCATCATCATGAGAAGTGATTTTAATTCTGAATCCTGCTTTTCAGGTGTGATGGGGTGTTCAGGGCTTGCTATATTGGGAGAATTGGGCACTGATGATGCCAAGAAACTTTGGTTTCCGTTGCTTATGTTCTTGCGCTTGCCTTTCGCCATCTGGTTAACTCTAGTGGTACCTGCCCTCACTGTGTAAAACTGGAGTCTGTATTTCCAGTTATCTTGCTTATTGCAGAGCTCCTCAGAGTCCAGAGGTCTCTGTGGTCTTATGCTCCTAATCTCCTGGGTGGAATAACTCCTGGGACTCAGGCCACCTCTTGGATCTGGAAATCCTTCTGCTCTGAGTGCAGTGGGTCCTCGATGACTCAGGATTCAGTTTCAGCTGCTCTGAGTGCAGTGGCTCCAGCTGCTCTGAGTGCAGTGGCTCCTGGATGACTCAGGATTCAGTTTCTCCACAGGACAGGAGCAGACTGACTCTGTGTCTGCTCCAGCTCGGAGGAGCAGGCAGGGGCAGAAGGGAAGTGGAATTCCGGAGGGGCGGGGTTTGGGTAGCTGCTGTGCCCTGGATGTCCCTGGCTCCCCGATCTATCTCTGGGGTTTAGGGAGTGAGATGGAGTTCTTACCAGCTGCTCTGAGTGCAGTGGCTCCTGGATGACTCAGGATTCAGTTTCTCCACAGGACAGGAGCAGACTGACTCTGTGTCTGCTCCAGCTCGGAGGAGCAGGCAGGGGCAGAAGGGAAGTGGAATTCCGGAGGGGCCGAGAGGCTCTTTTAATGACATATGGGCCATGTGAAGGTCATTTCTGTAGCCTTCATGCATTGACAAGTACACGTACATACATGTACTCACCCTTACTTAAATATTACATGCATGTACATATATTTATCCCTTAACTGACAGTCTTGTGGGTCTTATATTTTAGCCATAAATTTTAAAGTTCATGGAGGTTGCTGGGCAGTGGTGGCACATGCCTTTAATCCCAGTACATGGGAGGCAGAGGAAGGCAGATTTCTGAGTTGGAGGCCAGCCTGGTCTACAGAGTGAGTTCCAGGGCAGCCAGAGATACACAGAGAAACCCTGTCTTGAAAAACCAAAACAAACAAACAAACAAACAAACAAAAATTCATGGAGGTTAAGAAATATCTTTGTGGCTACAGTTTCATCCTATTTTTTTTGCTCACTAGATAACCTGTGATTCAGACCCCAGGGAATGTATTTGTCTGAATCTCCATCCTCCCAGGCATCCCCACTCCACCTCTCACTTACCTGAGAGGAGTAGGAGGCCTGAAATGAGGACTTGAGGGGGCATCATGATGGTGACCTGCAGGACAATGAGGAGATACATCTCATTGGTTGGCTGTGACCCTCACCACACTGTATCTGAGAAAGTCTCTCATCCTGATTGTGCGAACCACATAGGCCTTTCTGCTGGGGCCCCTGTCCTCCCAAACACTCCTCTTTCCTGGTCCTTCCCACACATATCCTTCAGTCTCACTCATGGTCTCAGTACAAGGAAGACAATAAACAAAGAAAACTTGAAGTCAGAGAGAAGAAGTTTGCTTCTTGGTATAACCCTAAGCAAAAAGCAGCCTTCTAATGGAGGTGCAGTTGTCCCGTGGTTGACTGCAGGCTCTTCCTGCTCAGTAGCCACAGTGGTTGGTCCCTAAAATTCAATCAAGTTCAGTATTGGCAACATGGACTGAGTAAAATGAGAAACACTGTGTCTAAGCACATTGTCCCATAGACATCAAAGACAAGGGTTTTGAAACTGTTCATTTTAATTCCACTGTTAGCACTCATAGAGCAAGGCTGAGGGAGTGTGAACAAGTACTACTCTCACTAGAACATTACCACCAGGCTGTTGCAATGGCTCATTGGTCAAGAGTGCCAACTGCTCTTACAGAAAACCTGAAAACTGGGAGAAGTTCCCAGCACCCTGGTTGAGAGGCTCACAGCCACTATCACTGGAGTCACACAAGCATCAAACATTCCTTGGACATCTGTGTTCACATGTACCCATCACCACAAACACACATGCATGCACACTCATACAGATACATACAATTAAAAACAATAAACATAAATTTTAAAAGTGATAATATGCTTACAGCAATTTTAGTATCATAGATTTATAAAAATTACAAGGTATCCAACTTACTATAGAAAACAATAATATAGTACCAAAATTTTACTTAATTTATGTTTTTTTACTGCCTTTAACAGAATGAATATGATTCTATGACTCAAGCCTCTATCAATGGATCAAAAATGTAGCTATGAGACCATAAAAAAATGCTGTTTGTTTATTGACTACTGCATGCAACACATACCCTGAAAATATAAAGAAAATAATATTTGTTTAAAAAACAGAAAATATTGAATTCACTGTTTCCCTGCATGGATGAACACACAAACAGAGCTGATAAACTACAAAGGAATCATCCAGCAAGCTTCGGAAGCTTCGGTGGCAGTGCTGGAGGGGTGTGGGTGCAATCTTAGCCTGCTCTGTCAGGCTTAAGTGCGCTTTCTACTACTGTCACACAGAAGGTATTTGAGCAAAGCTGAAGAAGGATTAGCCAGCCAGAAAGAGCTGTGAGGGGAGAAGAGAGAGAGAGTGCAAAGGTCCAGATGCAGGAGGGTGCCTGTGGCAGGGGAGAGGGCAGGGCAGCTGGGACAGTGAGGAACAGCAATGGAGAAGAACAGGGGCAGGGCAGGGACAGGGCTCAGGAGCCATTTTGTGAGGACTCTCCTTTCCCCAAGGACACAGAGAGACATTGCTGGGGTGCGGGGGTCCCTCTGAGGACCGCTGTGACTGTTGGGCTGACAAGCAAGGACACCTGAGAGTCCTTGCAGGAGTTCCCTGTGGAAAAGACAACAGAGAGAACATGCATGGGCTGACAAGCAAGGACACCTGAGAGTCCTTGCAGGAGTTCCCTGTGGAAAAGACAACAGAGAGAACATGCATGATTCTGAAGGAATCAAGACTCTGAGTCTGTGGGCCCAGAAAGCAGAGCAAAGTGGGCTTCCTGTAGGCTGTCTGTCTGTAGGGAATCAGTTAGTTACTCAGGCCTGAGTTGTGCATGAGGGGAGGGGCTCAGCAGAAGAGGGAAGAGCTTCTTCCACCACAGGGTTTGGAAGAGATATCTGGGTTTTGAATATATTATTGTGAGAAATCTTTGTGGCTCAAAGCTGGCCTTGACCTGACCCTAAGCCTCAGTCTCCCAAAGGTTGGGATTGAAAATATTTGTCAACATGCCAAGTTTTCTTTCCTCTTTCCTTTTTAAATAATAAAATACCAGCACAGGAACCGGGTGTATGTGATGCTAGACACCTTGTCTAGTGGGTATAACGTGGGTTCACTCACCTACATCAGAAAAAACAGGGATAATGGTATCTGCCTGTATGTAATTCAAGAACATTGGTAGTGGAAGGTCAGAAGATCAAGGTCATCTCTAGGCACTTACAGTGTGGAGTCCAGGCTGAGAAATATGAAGACATGTCAAAATCAAATGAAAATATAAGACACAGTGATGTATGCGGATCATATCAGCAGTCAGTAGACTAAGAGAAGGAGATACTAACAAGATCCAAGCCACTCCGGCATAGAAAGTAAGTCCAAGCTCAAAAAATAAACAGAAAGCCCATAACCGTGTGTGTGTGTGTGTGTGTGTGTATGTGTGTGTGTGTGATCTGATGATTATTGAAGGGAGGTATTGAATTCACCATCCTCCTGCGTCAACATTTGAATTACATTTTGTTTTGTTTTGATTTGTTTGACAAAGAAGAAGAAGACCTTTGCTGAGCAATGGAGGGATAGGATCTAGTACCCAAGTAAAGGGTGGCAGTTTAGTCATGCATGGGGTCCAGGGCCAGCTGCTGTAGCTGTGGGTTGATGGCTTCCTCAATGAAGGAAGAAACTAAACAAGGACCAGAAAGATGACTCAGTGGGTAAAGTCACTTCCTCATGAGCTTCATAACCTGAGTTAGATCCGCAAGTACATATTGCTTAAAGAATAGAATAGATGCCTGAAAGTTATTATCCTTTTCTCTCCCTCTCCCTTTCTCTCTCAATTTCCCCCTCCTTCTCCCTCTCCCCCTCTGCCCCAATCTCTCTGTCTCTGTCTCTGTCTCTGTCTCTCTCTCTCTCTCACACACACACACACACTCACATGTAATACAATAGAAAGTGCAAAGTAAGACTTCACACCTGTTGTGAGGATCTGATGAGCTGAGTAGGCACTGGGGCATATCTGTTATATTTTATGACTTGTTTTAAGTTCATTGTCGGGTCAGGGGAGGGATGGGGGATGCTGTGAGAGACTGAGAAAAGTAGGCAGCAATAGCTGGTTGTTGGTGAAGCAAGTGATCAGGAGAGACAGATAGCCCAAAATGAAGGGCTCCAGCCACCAAAATTCCAAGCTGAGAGAGTTGGAGTATCCCAATCAACAGATTCAAATATTTTAAAAATCTTTTTAAAGCCTTTCTCAAAATATTTCCCCACTAGTTAAAGAACTAAATGACTTCCCAGTCATAGAGAACAAATCCCAATTCTAAAAGCTGCCCATCTTCTTGGACTGGCCACTCCCTTCCCATCTCCAACACTCCAACTAATGCAAAATTTAGTTCCTTCTGTCCTTAGCTACAGTATCTCCAACACAAAACCTCCAGTGTCTGCAGCCACACTGCATACAAGCTTTCTTACAAAATCTCCTAATTTACAAACCACAAAAATCAATGAACACCACTGCAAATATATGTGTGCCCCTTGCCTCCTGGTCTCATTCCCATATTATTATATAATATTATAGAGTGTATCTGTAAAAGCTTATCATTCCATTTAAACAAAGATTCACTTTCCAAGAATCCACAGAACCCTACTGGATGGAACTCAATCATCATTGTCTAATGTCCCACATTCAACCCCACATCATCTCTAATGTAATTCCACTTGGTACAGAAACTCCAGGGAGCACTATCCTGACTCTTTCTCTTCAGCATGTGGCAGCAGACATCCCTACTTACCTGTATTTAAGGGAAAGTGACTTCTTGTTAGTCTCTCCTTCTGGTGCTCTGCTGCCCATGGACTCTTCCAGAGCTATTTATGGATGAAGACAAGTCTCTCTTGTAATTCCATCCTTATCTCCTGGCCACACTCTCTCCTGTTCTGTGTGAAAATTGAATCTCCCCAGTTCTTTAATCCACCCACTAGAAGCATTTACTCACTGCTATAAACAGACTATAGGAGAGTCTAAGTAAGTGGGAGCATGGCTAGTGTGCCCTGGGCTGTTTTCCAAGCTTCAGCAAACAGCCCTACTTGAGGTGTGACTCTAGGCCTGGGGACAGTACTGCTTTTCAGATGTTTAGAGAGTTAAAGGACTTTGACACCTGGACCAACCCTCTAGATTTACAGAATAAACTGCACTCAAAAAGAAGAATGAACTTGAGAAACCAGGAGATCCTGGAACAAGAGCAGAAAAAAGGGACACTTGGCTCTTGTCATACTTCCCAGATGCCATCAACTAACATCTTTCTAATAAATGTTTACTAGCAGCCCATACTAAGAATGGAGGAGTTGAAAGTAATAAATGTAGCTCATAGACTGTGCTTCCAAAATTTAGGCAGCGCAGGGTATGGTGGTGCACACCTTTAATGTCTGTGCTGGGGAGACAGAGGCACGTGGATCTGTATTGTATGGCAGCATGGTCGATAGTGAGCATTCCAGGCTGTCCAAGGATGCTGGGTGAAAAGAGATCCTTAAAGAGCTGAAGCCAAACTTCTCCACACCCAGATCCACATTTCAGTTATTACTAAATTTTCCACGGAAGCTCCTCAAGTGTGAGAGTTGTATAAGATGAAAAACTGGGTATGAGTACTTTCTCATCTGACAATTAGAGGGTAAAATGTTGTTCAAGCAAGTATTTCCAGAGCAGTTGTGAATTTGACAGTGTCCTTACTCCTACAAACCAACCAACCAAACAAACAAACAAACCGACCAACCAATCACCAACCAAGCAACCAACCAACCAACCAAACAAACAAACAAACAAACAATCATGTATTGAATTCTTAAATATACAGAGGACAATGTTATAAATCTGTTTCAGGTAAAACGTCTGGTTGATCAGCATCTTAGTGACTGGAAGATGCATCCAAAAATATCTGGGGGAAGAGAGATGATAGATTGGGGAGATTTAATAATATCAGGCTTTACTGAGTGGAGCTTTAATTTTAATCATTTCAGTTTTAATTTTGGTGTTGTTTGTTGTGATTTTTGTTTTGTTATGAGAGAGTGTCTTATGATGTAATGCAGGTTGGCCTATCATTCCTCTATATCAAAGATGATCA